TTTATGTTGTTTAGCCCCCCCCGTTTGTGTTTTCCCTGTTTATGAATACATTTTTAGACTCCTTTTGAAAAGAAAGTTGACATGTCAGAAATGGAGTGTTGACATGTGACTGCTGTGGAATCTGAAGTTGACTAATCTGTGATCAAGAAAGGACTTGTTTTTTCACTGGATTGTAGGATGTCTCTTGAAAGCTCTTTCTCAGTAGCAGCGATGCACTGAAACAGCTGTACATCTGGTCAAACTTACTCCGGCTAGGCCCTCCACAGTCATCTACAGTGAGTTGTAATGCAGCCTTCTCATTGTTTCCTAATCCTGCAATATCCATTTTAGTCTCCACCACCTTCCTGTTTCCAAATGTAGGAGACGTTATTAACAGCTGAGTGTTAGAAATCAAGAGATCATGCTCCTCCACGTGAGCCTTAATGTTGCCTCCTCGCCCAAATTTCAGCCCTCATTCTGGAATTGCAGCAATGCCTTATTGGTCCAGACATGCCTGCTGTGCAAAAATGTCTTGCAGCAATCACAAGAATAATGTTTGACTTTTTATCTTGATTTCTGTGGTTCTAAAATCCCCACAAGAAGATGGAAGATAAATTGGAGACTTGTTAGTGTTAATGCTTGCAAATATCTGAATTTGTCTCTGTCGCTGCTGTGTAAGTCGCTCATCTTACCATATGGAATTCTATAATTAACAGATTATTTCTTAACTGACATTTGAGTGAGTCATTTTTTTGTTGGCTTACTTCAATCCACCCATTTAGCATATAAGTATAATATAAGCGTAGTATATAAGCATTTAATACATGGTTTATAAAACACTGTAATGTAGATGTGAGCAAATATAAGTGTTCATTAATATATGTGGACACCCATAAGTGGATGTTGGTGTATGAAGAGATACTGAGTGACAATATAGTGACACAACACAGTTGTAATAATGTAAAATGTTTGACAAATACTGTTAATTAAATAACATTAAAATGCCCTATATGGCTGCATACAACTACATTACAGTGTGTTATAAACAATGTATTAAATGTTCATATAGTGGTAATAACTGCAAAATAGGGAGACTTTTTGTTCCACAAATGCTTGTTAGAGGGCATGTTGGCTGTGCTTAGCACTCACGACTGGATGTACTTGAGCTCTGAGTCAGCCCATGTCAGTTTATTTTAGTTGTTGCATGAGTGTGTCCCATTCCTCATGAAAAGGTGAAGGAAAGGCAGCCACCATGTAATATGCAAAATGAAATAACCAGATTCCATTACGGGCAAATCAGAAGATGTTTACTACTGGATGTTTCTTCATCTATCTTGAGAGGCAGCAGCCTTGTTATAATTTACTGGCTGTGTTGAGTGAATGGAGTCTATTTTGGGGAATGGGGGGGCATTAGGTTTAAGCTTGATATTTTGGGCATGGGCAGACCGTGGTTTGGTTGTTGGTTGTGTTTTCCAGTGCGGTTGCCATCACATACCCATCTGCTTCTGGGGTTTGGATCTTTTTACATCTTCCACATCTTCCAGCCTGGCTCCTATCTTATACCCTAAGCTCAGCACGGATCTGCTTCTGAGTCGAATCAAGTGGCCCTGAGGCATGATGGGAGGACGGTACTCTGGTATACCGTTGAGGTCAGAGGAGTTTACAGAGAAAACACACAGAGCCACATAGTAAAATTGGAGTAAGTTCCACAGAGATTTTTCACTAATGTGTGCTTATACTCTACAGCCAGACCCATAACTTGACCAGGTCAATATAAAGCTGATACTTGTTTATCACAGGTGTGTCTGTATGGGTGTATGTGTAATAGTAATTGGCAAGAAATTGCTCTGTGAGGTGGTACTTGGACACAGCAGTGAGCTAAAGGCTAACATCAGCTTGCTCACAATGACAATGTAGATATGCAGATGTTTAGCAGGTAGGATGTTACTGTGTCAGTCGTCTTTGTTTAGTGTGTAAGAATGCTAACATTTGCTAATTAGCATGGAGCACAAGTACAGCTAACCGTAACGGAAAGCCATTAGTTCCACACGTATTTGGTCATAGACTTTTTGGAAAAATGAAAATTTAGACCTGGTGATGGCGCTAAATGAAAAGTATCAAGTATTGTATTGTAGTATTGTATTGTCACTCAAAACCACAGATGTTAATCCCACGGTGGTGCCAGAGGACAAAAGTCAGGGGGTCATCTCAGTCATTAGGATACACTGTCTGTGAACAATCAATGTCTGTACTTGAGTTTGTGCCAATCCATCTTGTAGATGTAGAGATATTTTGCTAAATAAGTGACCAGTTGGTGGTGCTAGAATTCACTCAAAAAAGTCATTAGGATTCATCCTCTGGGGACCTTGAACGTCTGCATAAAATTTGATAACAATCAGTTTTTGAGATAGTATGTTGATGGACTGACATTTTTTAAGCTTGTAAAAATAAATTTTGCTTTCTACCTTAATTTCTTAATTAATTATAAACACACTCGGTGTCACATAAACATTACTACCACACACTGAACAGGCCTGGACAGATGCCAGGGCAGTCCCTCCATTCACTCTGAGGCATATCTTGTCATTTAGCTATCAGTGTTGACTGGTATGCACCAGCAGCATAAAGATGTTTTTGGTATTTGTGCCAGTGAAGTCAAGTGTAGCCTTTACATAAATCTTTAAAAGCCAGGATGAAGCAGCACGTAATGTGAGTACACCTCATTCCCCAGTTAACTCACTTTTCCCTGTGTGCCCTTTCAGTTTTCTGAAATGTGGCCTCTTTTATTTAAGAGATGCTCTGTTAATGAGGGGAAAAAGGAGCTCTTTGCTATACTCATGAGCCCTTGTTAAGCTACAAAAGTCACAGAGACACTTGGAAACATAGCCGACTGTGACTGCATAAGCCAGTTTTTTTACTTTTTTGATTTTGTAACTCAGCAGAACCCCGGGGTGCACATTTTCATAGCAATAAATGCCAAAACTAATCGCTGTGGTGACACCCTACCGGGCTAAGAACAAGTTTCTCAGTGTAGTGTGACAGTCACAGCTTCCCGATGCCAGTAGCTGTGTTTGCATGGGAGTGAACATACTGCATTGGCTCCTTGCCAGCAGCTGAGCCCCTTCCAGCAGCAACAAGGCCTTTTAACCCTCAGCTTTGTTGTGGAACCTCTTTTGTTTCAAGCTGCTGCCCTTCGTACGTCAACGTCAGGGTCTTTCACTCGACCTCATTCATCTCGGCTCTGCTCCGGAGGCTCTTGGCAGGTACAGAGGGTTGGAGCGACAGTCTAAGATCAGTCAGAAAGATGGAGCCTGCTGGAACACATTTGGAACACATTGCCTTTATTTAATCTGGGTGCTATACATGAGGCAAAGTCAGTCGTTTCTGTGTTCACAGCGGCTTTATGTTAAGTGGATTTCTATTTGGGCCACTTAGTTGGAATGCCTTGGCTGGGTGACAACATCTTGTTTTATTGCAAATCACTTGATAATGGCAATTTTAACTGTACATTGAGTACACGCCAGATGTATACAGCTTTGAAGTGCTTAGTGAGTACAAAATATACGGAAACACCATGAATGCCTTTTGTATAGGCTGTTGTGATCTGGCAACAAAGAACAGATGGCTTTTCACTTATATTCTAAATACAATTCAGGATTTCATAATTAGGAAAGCAAAAAGGGAACACCAGTCAAGAATAACTCTCCAACAATGTTACCAGGTTATCTGGTACATCTGTAGAATCTAATGGAAAATATGTAATTTTTTGTACCCATGTTCTATGGTAACTGGAGTTACCATAGAACAACAACATCTGTTCAAATGTTTGAACAATTGAATACAGTTTTCCTGAGTGACCTCTTGTGGTCATGCATTGTATGTTTGGCCCTGTTTATACCTGGCATTAACATGCGTTTTTGGTGATCCTATCACAATGGACAGTTCTAAGTACGTCAGTTCACACCTGTCATTAGAATGCATCTCGAGAAACCACTTCTTACTTCTCCATTGAAACAATGTTGCCCTGCTGCAAAGGCCCAACATAAGAAAACACTCACACGGGTTATTTTGGAAGGAAAGGGAAAAGGACCCATTTTGATGTCACGGACTAGTAGTTCTGTTAATGTTGTACTGGATGACATTATATTGAGGAAGGTTTCTAATATTGTGTCCTCCCCCATTTGCACCCATGAGCAGGAGTATTAGAACAATAAAAGCTTTAAAAAGTTGTGTCAAAATACATGAGATTCTAGAGATATAGCCAATTAACTGCTAACTCTGTGTAATTTCCACTTCGCAAGCTTGTAGTCTAATATTATGCAGCTCATCCACTTGAGTAATTTCACATCCAGAGCCCTTTTCTGAACTTCTCAATATCAGCGGTTGAGAGACCCCACCTGCTCCTAACGTCTCTGATGAAAGATTCCTGGCCTTTGGATCTGTTACCTTGGTTATCTATGTTTCATTAGATTAGAGATGATGGCGGCATCACTTACCTCCTCTTGACGGATAAATGGACTCTATCTCAATCTTATCAGGCCTCTTGAGGAGTGCTGCATTGCTTTAGCCAAGGGTAAAGGCCAGCAGGTCAGTGTGCTGACAAAGGAGGGGTGATGTCACTGTATATACCCTGAAGTATCAACCACTGACAGAGTGTGTGTCATTGAACGTCCATGTTGGAGGAATTGGCCTTGGGTTGTGTGAACATGTTGCCTGAGTTTGTTCATACCACAAGCACATGTGTTTGCTATTACAATCAATTGTACTGGCATCTGTTGTTTCAGTGAGTGCAGAAAAGATTTGTAATTGGTTGATTGACAGAAAATTATTTGTAATGGATTCATCATTTGTCATTTATCAGGAAAAAATTGCAAGACATTCGCTAGTTGCAATTCTTGAATATCAAACTTGTATCATTGTAACTGTAGCCCTGTTGGTTGGACAAAACAAGCTGGTTAAAAATTAAAATAAAACTATTTCTGGCCCAAATTTTAACTTGTCTGTCTTTCTTCTCTTGGCAGGTATACCTCATCAATGTCACCTACTCTGACAACACCTCCCACATCATCTACAGAAGATACAGCAAATTCTTTGACCTACAGGTAATCTTCCATCACTCCCCGGCATACGTGGAGTGCCTGTATTGAATTCCCTAATTCCTTTGCCGCTGATGTATTTTGAACATGTCAACCCCTGTGAACTTGCAGCACTGTTTTGTATAGATTAATGTGTAAGCCTCGCGACTGTTCACTGCTGCCGTGTCTGCGCCCGTGTTCTCCACACCTCGTCGCCTCAATGAATCAATGTGTGTGTTAGTAATTGGTCCGGGAGCAGGGGAGACATGGTTTGTATCCCTTAGACTCGTAGAGATGCAGCAATACACCTCGTCTTTCTCTCTCTGCCCTCTCTGTAGCTCTACCCCTCCTTCTTTCTCCCCTCTTCTTCCTCTCTCTCATCTCATCTCTGCCTTACCCTCAAAACGTCAGGGAGCTGACAGGCCTTTTTTATAGTACAAGCAAGAAATCCACAGGGAAGTCAATTTAATGTACCATGCTTTATAGTGGGTCGCCGTTAGATTTTCTTGTGCAGGCTGCTCTGATTGGTGGATTCTTTAAATATAGTCCTATATGCAGGAGATCTTTTTTCTTGACTTGGCTCAGATGCTTAACTCTCATGTTGAAAGTGTCAAGTTCTCTCGTCGGATTTATTTTGGAACGGAGCAGGAGTTGCAGTGAAAATCCTGCTCTGTGTGCCTCAGATTGACTGTTCCATACTGAGAGAATGTTTGTGTGCATTTATGGCCCTTGCACCTTCGGCTTGCTGCAAGCTGATACCATATGTACACTGGTCCAGAGGTTTCTGGGTCACTAGTAAATATGAAGGGGCTGTGGTGAGAGAGTTACAGGGGGCACTCAATAGCCCCAGTGTGCTAGTCCAGCAGGAAATGATGTTTCAATCAGTGGAGGAAAGGTCCTTTCTGAAAGGTCCCATTGATAACCAGGAAAATAGACCCCCCCCCCATGCAAATGATTACTCCCAATGTGGAATAAAAGACAGAGGTAGAATAATAAACATGGAAAAGCAAGCAGAGTCTCCGCTCTGGAAAAGTCATAGATGTAGGTGAGCTGAGTGGATGTGTGTCTTCCTCCTGATATTCAGCCCCTCGTTAAATGGCCTGGGAGGAGACTAATGAACCTTAATGGTTCATGGATGGCTTGGCACAAAATCCCTCCCAGTCAGCAGGGGCAAGATGGATTTTGTTAGCTTTGTCAGATGGCGCGGGGCAACGGTCACCCAACTTGGTCGGAGCTTTATTGAGTAGTCAAAGAAAGCGGCGCTCGCATGGCCAAAGTTTGGCCAAAATTTTATTGTGAAAATGCCTTGCTACATATTTCTGGGTTATACCAGATGTCCCTTTTAAAGCACACTGCAATATATCACCACCAGCACTTTACCGCTCACGTCTTACTTCGCCTGGTTCTTTGATGTTTCCATTTGCACTGTGACACTCATGAATAAAACTACCACTGGCAATACTGACAGGCCAGCCTTCTAATGCTCAGTAATCCTCTATCTCTGCCGGTATATGGACCGAAAGTAAAGTTCTCTCTGCCAGGCTTTGATCTTGCTAGATGCCTTTGATGGTCCCGTTTGATCCCATTGTTTTCAGAGCAACCTGGAGCCTCTCCTGTCCAAACATTTATCTGGTGCAGGGACCCTGCTGCTCTCAGCAGTCCTGCTAACGTAGGGGAGAGAAACATGGATGGCCCCTCTGAAACTGTTGAAATGTACTTTAACCAAAGATTTGGCAAAGACAGCTGGGGATTTTAAGACTGTTTCTGAGTAATAACCAGAACAGGCGGTCTTACTGGAAACATACTATCCCTGGTTCAGGTCTGACGTCAAGAATGAGAGGGCCCACTGAGGTTGCTTTGACGGACTTTGTTTATGTTCTGCATTGAAGGCACGGACAATACAACTTACATGCTTTCATGTTGGACACACAAATGAAGAGTTGGCTGATGTACTGGATGTAGCATTGAACATTCAATGTATATTTATCTCTTTCTGTATCAAAAGCTTTGCACATGCTTGCCTTCTGCCAACAAAATTCTGACTTTTAATGGATCCAGTCACAAGTCCTTCAGTTCCAAAGTGCTTGTGCCAGTAATGTAGAGAATGTGTCATGGTAAAAATAATAGGAGCCATACTTGTGCTATTTAGTGGTCCTCTGTGAAAAAGAAGTAATTTTCCGGCTAATAGAATGAATATATTAATGCTAAATGTTGCCAGAATTGCCCTGTAGGGAGCCATTTTGTCCGTGCACCTGTATTCTGTGAAGAGTGGGTTGGATCTCACACTGTCCACTTCTTTGGAGCAAAAGTACTAACTTTCTCTCTGCCATCCTTTGCCATCAGCTTTCAATTAGTTCTTATGGTTGTTTGGGGGGCTGAAGCTGCCCTGCTGGAACGGATGTTTGATTTTTTTTTTGGCCCTTTGACAGTTTTACCAGAACAATCAACATGCCTCAGTTAGAGGCAGGAGAAGAAGGAAGCCAGTCAGGACAGGCAGAGGCTTGTTCAGACACATACCTGCCACATCAACTCATATATTTGTCACCCATGTCTGTTTGTCCACTAAAGAACAGCTCATCTTCTTTGTCAGGATGTGACTGGCTCTTCCTGGCTGCTCTGCTGTGCACTGATGTGGTTTTGTCTCAGTGAGACCTGACTAATGAGTCAAACAGTGTGTCCTTCTGTCAGAAGTAGGCCAGCCCAAGTTACTTCTCAGAAGGGAGGAAACCGGGACAGGGAGAGGAACGGGTCAGCCCGAGGGCCGGAGAGGATAGGAGCAATGAGGAGTTAGAGTAGGACGATGATGATTGTGGTGGTGATAATGAGGCAGGGGAGGACAGTGATGAAAGATATGAAAGCGATTATGGTAATGAGGATGACAGCAATACTAGTGGTGTTGGTGATTAAGATTCATGCTGTTGATGCTGACGACACTGATGATGCAGATGGAAGAAATTAAAGATGTTGCGATATTGTGGGTTTCTTCAGGGTCACTCGTTACAAAGAATCCTTCATGAGCATGCTTTAGGAACCTCTGAGGAGTGGGTGATTGTGCCCCGGGTGTCCTTGGGCAAAGTTGGTATATTTAAAGCTGCGGCATGGCTCACCATCTGAAAGAAAGACACGCTCTGACTCACGCTTTTTACGAGGGCCTTTGGTTTGTATTCCGTCCGCACGCGCGCACACAAACCCTCTCTTTTCTTTTTCCAAGTCTGCCCTGGAATGAGCCTCCCTACAGCAACTGAATATTTATTTCAGGGAGATTTTCTCTAATTCTTTCTAACATCCTTTTTTTGGTGTTTAGTGTACCTTTGAAGAACCAACAGACGATTTTAGTCTGGTTTGCTTCGAGAGTCCGTCTCAAGGTTGATACTCAATTCTTTTGGAAACAGCTTTACGGATGCTAGCAGCAGGCTTTCGGCAAACAGCATTTTATGTTCGGTGCAGAAAATTATACAGTAGCTGTGGTCAGAGCGCTTAAAGTAAGGTCACTGAATTGGGAATCTGTAACCTCTAAGTGGGCGGTTTGATGGAAACATATGTCTAGACCACAAGGCATTATCGGAATGCCATCCTCGAGGATAAATTGCAGAATAGCCAGGCCACTAGCTCAGCCTCTTTGTCCTTGAGGTGTTCTGTGGACGTACTGTAACTCAACTGAATGAGGTAGCCCATTGTTTCAGGTCGAGGATAAAGGGCTGTTTTATTTTATTTATGGGCGTGTGTGCAAGAGAGAGAAGAGCGGAAAACATACTTTTTAGCCCCCGATGAGAGGCAGAGGAAGGACACCTACACGGCAAACACAGGACCTGTTCTTGTGAGTTACAATCGGGCACTTGACAGGAAGGCCCAGGCCGGGCCCTCGCTGGACTGGGAGCAGAGGGGGGAAAAGTATGCAGTGTTTCCCACAGCCATGGAGAAGGGATCAGGAGAGTGGGCTAAATTTAGGATGAATGAGCACAGTTTAGGAGTGTGTGGGACATTTCCATGGCTCAACACACGTACCAGTGTGACTGGGACACATTCAGGGAGTCAGAGAGACAGACAGGCAGATAGACAGACAGAAGGACAGAGGTGTGTGGAGGGTTGACAGAGGAAACTTGAGGTTTAATAGTACAAGAAAAGGAGATAATTTAATCTGATAAACTTTCACAGGAAGATGTGAACCTACTCTTGAGAAATGGATGAAATGTTCTAATCGGAAGTATCCATGCTGAATACAGTCTGCGGTTAATCTGCTAGTTCATCTCAAAGCAAGATAAAAGGAGTTGTAAAACTCAACTGGTTGCCAAAATAAACATAATCAACATAAGCATAATTGACAGCACCAAGAGAGCATATGCCTCTGACAAGCTGCACAATCCTCAAAATGATTAGAATTCTTTATTTAGTAGGGTGTCTAGATCTGCATCTGCATAAAAATAAGTCAGGAGTGCGATACATTTGCTATTTTATGTGCAGTAGTTCAAAACTAAATAGTAAACAAACTCACATCAACCTTGTTTCCAGTAGGTTGTAATGGTTTGTAGCGAAAAAGCTCTATAAACCAACTGTACAATCCCTGCCCAGTACCAAACAGGAGATGAGTTGGTGGAGACCAAAACAGAGTGAATGTTGGATGGTTGGTTTCATCAGATGGTCAGAGACATGATTAAATATGAATACTGATCTGTCTGCTGGTTGTGTAAAGGTATTGTTTGCGTAGCCTTGTCCATGGCTAGAGGGCTTGTTGCATGAAATGCAGTCAACAACGCTAGGTCAAGAAACGGCAAGTACTCACACTGATATTGCCAGATCACATCTTCTGGCAACAAAGGTCATAATCCAGACACATTTGAATCACCTGGAGAGGATGTTGGTCAGACACTGACGTGTATATCAACACAGATTGGTCTCAAAACCTTTTTCTCAACCCTCTGATTCAGAACGATTTATGCTGAGTGAAAAAGTAGACTTGGCTTCAGTTTTTAGATCACCTACACAACAAGCAGTCAACAGTGAGAAGCATGGGTCAGAGCCACAGTGTG